GGAGAAAACAAAGCATATGCAGTAAAATGTTAACATTCTGGGAATCTGGGTGAAAGATATACAGGAGTTCTTTGCACTATTCTTAGAACTTTTTACAAGCCATTACAACAAAATTATTAAAGTAACAGTGAAACCAATATATAAAAGCTAAGAGATTTTATTGACAGTGAAACTGCACCACAAACAATGCTAAATAACGACAAAGTACTTTAGGTGAAAAAAAAAAAAAGAAGATAGTAGGAAGGGCAAAATGAACGGAGGGAAATCGGAGGGGGAGACGAACCATGAGAGACTATAGACTCCGAGAAACAAACTGAGGGCTCTAGAGGGGAGGGGGGTGGGGGGATGGGTTAGCCTGGTGATGGGTATTAAAATTTGTATGGAATCAGAAAAGACCCTGAATCGCCAAGGAGATGATGAAAAAGAAAAACAAAGCTGGGGGCATCACGTTGCCCGACTTCAAGCTATATTACAAAAAGTGATCAGCAAGACAGCATGGTACTGGCACAAAAACAGACGTATAGACCAATGGAGCAGAATAGAGGGCCCAGATATGGACCCTCAACTCTATGGTCAAATAATCTTTGACAAAGTAGGAAAGAATGTCCAATGGAAAAAAAAACAGTCTCTTCAATAAATGGTGCTGGGAAAACTGGACAGCCACATGCAGAAGAATGAAACTCGACCATTCTCTAACACCATACACAAAGATAAACTCAAAATGGATGTAAGACCTCAATGTGAGACAGGAATCCATCAAAATCCTAGAGGAGAACATAGGCAATAACCTCTTTGACATAGGCCACAGCAACTTCTTTCAAGATACATCTCCAAAACCTAGTGAAACAAAAGCAAAAATGAACTTTTGGGACTTCATCAAGATAAAAAGCTTCTGCACAGCAAAGGAAACAGTCAACAAAACAAAAAGGCAACCCACGAAATGGGAGAAGATTTTTGCAAATGATACTACAGACAAGCGGCTGGTATCCAAGATCTATAAAGAACTTCTCAAACTCAACACCGAAAAAACAAATAATCAAGTCAAAAAATGGGCAGAAGACATGAACAGACACTTCTCTGAAGAAGACATATAAATGGCTAACAGACACATGAAAAAATGTTCATCATCAGCCATCAGGGAAATTCAAATTAAAACCACACTGAGATACCACCTTACACCAGTTAGAATGGCAAAAATTGACAGGGCAAGAAACAACAAATGTTAGAGAGGTTGTGAGAAAGGGGAACCCTCTTACACTGTTGGTGGAAATGCAAGCTGGTAGAGCCACTTTGGAAAACAGTGTGGAGGTTCCTCAAAAAATTAAAAATAGAGCTACCCTATGACCCAGCAATTGCACTCCTGGGTATTTACCCCAAAGACACAGATGTAGTGAAAGAAGGGCCACATGTACCCCAATGTTCATAGCAGCAATGTCCGCAATAGCCGAACTGTGGAAAGAGCCGAGATGCCCTTCAACAGATGAATGGATAAAGCAGATGTGGTCCATAGATACAATGCACTATCACTCAGCCATCAGAAAGGATGAATACCCAACTTTTACATCAACATGGATGGGACTGGAGAAGATTATGCTAAGTGAAATAAGTCCAGCAGAGAAAGTCAATTATCATATAGTTTCACTTATCTGTGGAACATAAGGAATAGCAGGGAGGACATTAGGAGAAGGAAGGGAAAATGAAGAGGGGGAAATCGGAGGGAGAGATGAACTATGAGAGACTGTGGGCTCTGAGAAACAAACAGGGTTTTAGAGGGGAGGGGGGAGGGGGGACTGGTTAGCCCGGTGATGGGTATTAAGGAGGGCACGTACTGCATGGAGCACTGGGTGTTATATGAAAACAATGAATCGTGGAGCACTACATCAAAAACTAATGATGTAATATATGATGATTAACATAACAATAAAAAAATTTAAAAAAACCTAATGATGTATGGTGACTAACATAACACAATAAAATTGAATTTAAAAAAAGAAAAAGAGGGCACGTACTGAAAGGAGCACTGGGTATTATACACGATGAATCATGGAACACTACATCAAAAACTAATGAAGTAGGGGCGCCTGGGTGGCTCAGATGGTTAAGCGACTGCCTTTGGCTCAGGTCATGATCCTGGAGTCCCGGGATGGAGTCCCGGGATCGAGTCCCACAGCGGGCTCCCTGCTCAGCAGGGAGTCTGCTTCTCCCTCTGACCCTCTTTCCTCTCATGCTCTCTCTCACTCTCTCTCTCAAATAAATAAATAAAATCTTAAAAAAAAAAGATCTGTCAGAAACTAATGAAGTAATGTATGGTGACTAACATAACATAATAAAATAAAATTTTAAAAAAATGATACCAGATTGAAATTCAGATCTACACAAAGGAACAAGAGCACTGGAAGTAAAATTGTGGGTAAATATAAAATACCATCCTTTTTCTTTTCTTAATTTAACTGAATTTTTGAAACAAAAATAATTACACTGTATTTGTAGAGATATATAATAGTTTAATGACAACAAATAACTATAATGTTTAAGAAAATATGAGTCAGTTAAAACAAATGTAATGTTGTCTATACATATAAATTTATTTTGTCCTTCAGAGTAGCCCCCATAGAAGGCTATATATTTATTAAAATACTTCTGCCACTGTTTTAAAATATTGTATACCTCCTTTTCTGGGATAACTTTTAGTGACAGCTTATGAATCAAGAGCCTTATAAATCTCATTATTTGATATTTTCAAATGCTTTGCTATCTGAAACAGTAACAATCATTCTGAGCATTTTTTCATTGTTTGGAATAGTCTCTAAACAACTTTTGATTATTTCTAAAACATAAATCTACCTGCAAATGATGAAATTTAGGTACCAAATCAATGTTTGATATATTTAAAAATTTTGTCATTAGTATTGAATAACTATGACAATGTTCTGAGAAATGGCAGCTCCATTTACTCCAAAATCAGCAGACACACTGAATATACAGATACGTTCACCTAACTCGATAAAATTATTTCAAAATTTAATAGAAGATATTATAATAAACTTCATTTATTCAATAATTACTTACTGAGCAACTTCAACTATAAAGAAGACAATAGAGAAACAGAAGGCAATGAAAACTCTAACACACAGAGTATTTTGTTTTCTGAGCTCACAAGAGATTAGGAACATCAAATTAGGAAAAAGAATGTAACTCTGTAGACAAGCATATTGACAGAATGGCAGAAACCAGAACTCAGAAAGTGTGCAGTTTTTCAGATAGGTGCACATTGATCTGAATACTCCCCAGTGTTCCTGAGAGCATCAAGATTTTTCTAGCACAAAATACTATTTACACTGAAGACTGTTCATATAATACAACATGCCTGAGAAAGATATAAAGTATATCATGTTCTTTTAATTTTTTTTCTATTTAAAACACTTCAAATAATTTTTTGCACTTAAAGAGGTAGATGTCACAAAATTCTTATGTGAAAGCCCTAACCCCCAATACCTCAGAATGTGACTATATTTGGAGATAGGGCCTTTAAAGAGGTAATTAAGTTAAAATGAGGTCACTAGGGTGGGCCTTGATCTAATCTGACTGATGTCCTTATAAGAGGAAATTTGGACACACAGAGAGACCCTGGGGGTAGACATGCACAGCAGAATGACCATTTGAGGACACAGCAGCAAGACAGTAGCGAGCTACAAGCCAGGGAGAAAGGGCTAAAATGATCTTTCCCTTATGGTCCTCAGAGGCTACCAACCCTGCTGGCATCTTGTTCTGCACTTAAAGCCTCCAGACTACTAGAAAATAAACTTTTGTTGTTTAAACCACTAGTCTGTAGTATTTTGTTATGATAGCCCTAGCAATCTAATATATGATGTACGATTTTCAAAGATTTAAAATTTATAGCATACATCTGCATGTCTTTTTCTATATTGAAAAATATAAAACACTTTTTCAAAATATCAGAAGGCAAAGAATAAAACTGAAATTTTCATTTTTCCCCTTAAAAGGCAATACCTCAGGGGTGCCTGGGCGGCTCAGTCAGTTAAGCATCTGCCTTCAGCTCAGGTCCTGGGATCAGTCCCAAGTTGGCTCCCTGCTCAGTAGGGAGTCTGCTTCTCCCTCTACCCTTCCCGCCCCCATGCCCTGCTTGTGCTCTCTCACTCTCTCTCTCTCTCTCAAATAAATAAAATCTTAAAAAAAAAAAAGGCAATACCTCAAAACCACAGTGAGAGGTCATTTCACACATATTAGGAAGGCTATTATAAAAAAAAAAATAAAACCCAAAGCAAAATAAAGCAAAAAAGCCCCAGAAAATAACAAGTTTGGCAAGGATGTGGAGAAACTGGAAAACCTCATGTATTGTGGTGGGAATATAAAATGGTGCAGCCATTATGGGAACCATTTTGGCAGTTCCTCAGAAAATTAAACACAGAATTACTATATGATCCAGCAATTCCACTCTTAGGTATATGTTCCAAGGAACTGAAAGCAGGGTCTTGAAGAAATATCACCCACCCATGTTCATAAGCAGCATTATCACAACAGCCAAAAGGTGGAAGCAATCCATCTGTCCAACAACAGAGGATCATACAAAATATGGTATATACATACAATGGAATATTATCCAGCCTTAAAAAGGAATGAAATTCTGATAAATGTTATATGAACCTTCAAAAAATTATGATAAATGAAATAAGCCAGACAGAAAAAGACAAACACAGTATTATTCCACCTATATGCCTAGAGAGTAGGCAAAATCATAGAGACAAAGTAGAATAGTGGTCACCAGGGGCTGGTGGGGAGGGGAAGTGAGTTGTTATCATTTAATGGGTACACAGGTTCTGTTTGGGATGATGAAAAAGTTCTGGAAAAGGACAGTGGTGATGGTTGCACAACACTGTGAATATACTTAATGCCACTTTGAATTGTACATTGAAAAATGGTTAAAATGGTAAATTTTAGGCTGTGTATATTTGATCACAATTGTTTTAAAAAGGCAATACCTGAGAAAATGGAATGTCATAATCCCTGTAGAAACCAGCTCTTTTTTTGTGGGAACTTTCTGTATGTTCAACATCTGAATCAAGGCTGTAGTCTGAACTATCATCACTAGATGGAGAATTATACTAAAAGAAAGGAAAAAACAAATAGTTACACTTGCAAAAGGAAAAAAATTTAACTAGTAATTAGATAGGCTTGTTTCAGTCAGAAGTGCCAACAAGTAGACTATATTATCCTAGTAGGTTCTGAAGTATTAACCAAAAAAATCTTTGCTCCAAAGGCCACCACACCTCAACTTCTCTAAAATTTTGAGGAAAAGTTTATCTTCTCCTTTTCTTAAGGATTTAATGGCAGTATTCTCATCATCCCTGTGGTCCAAGGATTTGTGCCCTTCTATGCTTGAAAGTGATCTTAGATTTAAGTTAATCTTAAAACAATAAAATTATGTCTTCGAAGAGGATTACAGAACATAAGTATGAATTATTTTTACCTAAAATGGCTTTAGAATTCTTATTCTTTTGCATAATAAGTACCCTAAAGCTAAAAGATACCCAAACATACCAAATTATAAATATGAAATAAATCCAACTCACGAAATTGAAAAAAAGTGAAATAGAAACCACAAGTAACTGATAATGATTAGCAAATATTAAGAGTAAGCTTTTTAGGGGCACCTGAGTGGCTCAGTCGGTTCAGCGTCTGCCTTCGGCTCAGGTCATGATCCCAGGGTCCTGGGATCAAGCCCTACATCGGGCTCACTGCTCAGTGGGGAGCCTGCTTCTCCCTCTCCCACTCCCCCTGCTTTTGTTCCCTCTCTCTCTGTGTCTCTGTCAAATAAATAAATAAAATCTTAAAAAAAAAAAAAGAGTAAGCTTTTTAAAGTATGAGTGTACTTCTTAAAAAAAAGTCACCATATCTCCATTGAGTCAAAATAATTACCTTCTCAGGTTAAGCACTCTTTTTAAAGACTTCTTAAAGTTCTTATCAGTGAAAATACTGACTCAGTAAAAATTTGCTGAGCTAAATTGAACTCTGATATTTTCACTGATAATTCACAGTAGAAGGATGTTTTCCTCCATTCTTAAAGGCTCTTTTAAGAAAGACAAATTTTCCTCCACTTGTTCTTAAATGTTTTCATGTTTAGTTTTGTGGTGGTGTTATTTTTGCTGATTTGATAGGTGATACAAAGAAATATTTTTATAATTATGCTATGAAATGCTTCAAACTTATTTATCTAACATTTGTTGGTCAGGGTTTGAAATAAATATTTCCCATTTCTTTTTTCTTTTTTTAAGTAGGCTCCAAGCCCAACGCAGGGCTTGAACTCATGACTACCAACTGAGCTGGCCAGGCACCCCTAAACATTGTCCATTCAGAAGCCAAGTTTGCTAAGTCTCTAGCAGAAGTCAGCTCCAGCTCAAAGGAAAACTTTCCACTTGAAGATCACTAAAGGGAGAAGACTTGATTAAGAAGAGCTCAAATGAAGACACTGAACTGCTTCAGGAAAAACCACCAGAGAAGAGAAGTTTCTGCTTAAGGGAGAAGTTTCTTCACACTACTCCAAAAATAGTGAGGCTAAAAAAATATATAGGCTTTAAGAAGCCATTAAGACTATTATCGGGACGCCTGGGTGGCTCAGTCGTTAAGTATCTGCCTTTGGCTCAGGTCATGATCCCAGCGTCCTGGGATCGAGCCCTACATCGGGCTCCCTGGCCTGCTTTTCCCTCTCCCGCTCCCTCTGCTTGTGTTCCCTCTCTCGCTATATCTCTCTGTGTCAAATAAATAAAATCTTAAAAAAAAAAAAAGACTATTATCAAAAAATATATATGTGTAACAGGGCACCTGGGTGGCTCAGTCGGCTAAGCGTCCGACTCTTGGTTTTTTGGCTCAGGTCATGATCTCAGGGTTGTGAGATCGAGCTCCATATGGGGCTCTGTGCTCAGCAAGGAGTCGGCTTGAGATTCTGTCTCTCCCTCTGCCCCTCGCCCTGCTCTTGTATGGGCTCTTTCTATCTGAAATAAATTAATTAACTCAATCTTAAAAAAAAAAGGAGTAATTATTAACCTGAAATTAGCAATTGGACTATACTAAAAATAGCTAGTAAATAGGTCAGAAGAGATGGTATATCACTTCTGAGATTAGGTTATAAAAAAGACTAGAGCTTTCATCTTGGGTGCTTTCTCTTGTTCTCTCTCACTTATGGTTCCCCTGCTTTGGGGGAAGCCAGATAACATCATGAGGACACTGAGGCAGTCTGTAGAGATGTCCACACGGTGAGGAACTGAGGCCTGCCAAGAGCCATGTGAGTGAACATGGAAAAGAATCCTGCCTCAGTCAAGCTTTGAGATGACTGCAATCCCATGAGAAAAGCTGAGCCGGAATCACCTCGTTAAGCTGCACCCATATTCCTGACCCACAAAAACTGGGAAATAAATCTTTATTCTTTTACGTTTCTAAGTTTGGGTTAAGGTTGTGCAGCAACAGTCAACTAATAAGATTCTGGTGTCTGGAAATGCTGTGCTTCCACAAGAAATATCTAAAAGGTAGGAGGGGTTTTGGAAACAGGCAGTGGATAGGAACTGGAAGAACTTTAAGGAGAGTATTTGTGAGTCTAAACTACCTCAAATGAGGGGTGCCTGGCTAGCTCAGTTGGTGGAGTATGCAACTCTTAATCTCCAGGTCAAGATTCAAGCCCCACATTGGGTGTAGAGATACAAAAAATAATAATTAAAAAAATGGGTTAGACAACCAACTCTTGGTTTCCTCTCGGGTCATGATTTCATAGGTCATGAGATCGAGCCCTGGGATTCTCTCTCTCCCTTTGCCCCTCCCCCAAATCGTGCACTGTCTCTCTCAAATACATAAATCTTTAAATAAATAAATAGGGGTGCCTGGGTGGCTCAGTCATTAAGCATCTGCCTTTGGCTCAGGTCATGGTCCCAGGGTCCTGGGATCAAGCCCCGCATCGGGCTCCCTGATCGGCGGGAAGCCTGCTTCTCCCTCTCCCACTCCCCCTGCTTGTGTTCCTGCTCGCGCTGTCTCTCTCTCGCCAAATAAAATCTTTAAAATAAATAAATAAATAAATAAATAAGTTACCTTGAATTATTGTTAGTAAAATGCTGAACTTTGAGGCAACTTAAAGGAAAGTGGGATATCTTATTAAAACCGGAAAAATGGAAATCCTCATTATGCAGTGGCAGAAAGTTGAACAAAAACAGCTACATTCAGTAACATGGAAACTAGAAAATGTGTCTAGTGAACTAAGTGATCTAGTTAAGATTTCCAAGAAAAATGCTGAAGGTATATATCTGCCAAAAAAGACAAAGAAAAGGCTGTTAAAAAGGAGATGGGACTTGACGGTTTTGAAAGTTCTTAGCTTCAACATATCAAATTTTATTTTTGCTTTTCCCTTTCCTTTTTTTTTAAGATTTTATTTATTTATTTGAGAGAGAGAGAATGAGAGATAGAGAGCACGAGAGGGAAGAGGGTCAGAGGGAGAGGCAGACTCCCTGCTGAGCAGGGAGCCTGATGCGGGACTTGATCCCGGGACTCCAGGACCACGACCTGAGCCGAAGGCAGTCGCTTAACCAACTGAGCCACCCAGGCGCCCCCTGCTTGTAACTTAATTAAAAGTCCTTCCTTTTTGTTTTTGTTTTGATCGGCTACTTTTCTAGCCTAGCAATAATAGCAGTAATAAAGACTGAAATACTCTAATTTTTCTCCTGACAACTGCTTCAGCTATATTCTGTTGGTACTTACACATCAAGATTTTACCATTATTTTCACGAAATTTTGCAGTTTGAATGTTTCCCCTGTGTTCCACAGGCTATTTATAGCAGGTATTTGAATTACAAAGCAAAAAGACATTTTGTTTTTTGACTTTATTAGTAATATGTAATTTTATTGTATTGTAGTTTGACATTGCTCTTCCACTCTATCAAAGTAATTAGAGCTTATAAGGCCTACTGTATGGCCGTAAAGATAAGGGAAAGATGTATTTTCAGGATTCAGAGCTCACTACATAATCTCTCTTTAATATCCTAACCACCTTTTCATCCACTTGATTGATCTCTTTGGGTTAAGAGAGGCATATTGGTATATCTCCTGTTATTAGTGTATTCCTATTTCTTCTTGCAGTTCCTATAGTTCTTGCTTTACAAAAGCTGCTGTTTTGGGGGATATAAAATAGTAATAATTTATACTTCATTGTGAATTATAGCCTTTAACATCATAAAATACCCTTGTTTCTTTCAATGCCATTTTGACCTAATTTTGACTTTTTCAGATATCAACATTATGACTTTTTTTTTAAAGATTTTATTTATTTGTTTGAGAGAGAGAGAGACAGAAAGAGAGCATGAGCAGGGGGTAAGGGCAGAGGGAGAGGGATAAGTAGACTCCCCGCTGAGCAGGGAGCCCAACGGAGGGCTCAATCCCATGTCCCCAAGATCATGACCTGAGCCGAAGGCAGATGCTTAACCATCTGAGCCACCCAGGTGCCCCACAACATTATGACTTCTGCCTTTTCTTTCTTTGCATTTGCCTGCATAGCTTTACCCATTTTTTAAATCTTTCTATTATACACAGCTTAGAGTTGGATTTTGCATTGTTGGGAAGTATACCTTTTGTTATTTAGAAAGGTTTGCATTTATGTATGTATGTATGTATCTTTCTATCTATTTATAAATAGACTCCATTCCCAGAGTGGAACCCAACACGGGGTTTGAACTCACGACCCTGAGATCAAGACCTGAGCTGAGATCAAGAGTTGGACACTCGGGATGCCTGCGTGGCTCAGTCAATTAAACATCTGCCTTCAGCTTAGGTTATGATCCCAGGGTCCTGGGATTGAGTCTCACACTGGGGGCCTTGCTCAGCAGGGCAGGAAGCCTGCTTCTTCCTCTGCCTGCCCCTCCCCCTGCTTGCTCAGTCTCTCTCTCTCTGACAAATAAATAAAATCTTTAAAAAAAAGAGTCAGATGCTTAACCAACTGAGCCACCCAGGTGTCCCTCCATTATTTCTTTCGTACAACCTTTTTCCAATAACCTTGGTCCCTGTCCCTTCTTTGCATACTATTTCTTTACTAACAGGACCAATACTGAAGTTCAGCAGTAACCTTTCTTTTTCATTCCCAGGATAACAAGGCGAAGCAACATCCTTTTACTCTGAGTTAATAACTATAAGGCAATCAGTAAGCTTATCCTGCTTGCCATATACTCTCCTGCTTTTCCTGGTATTTTTTTTTTCCTGGTATTTTTTATAGTTGTAATGTTCAGATACATAATACACTCTCCTCTTATGTCCATCATTTAGTCTTAGTTTTACAAGGAAGTATGTATGTGTATATAGATGCCTCTCTCTCAACTAGTCATTTTGGTTATCTAAACTTGTTCTCTGGTAGAGTCTACAGGAAGGCTCATGATAACAATACTTCCTGAGTTCTATCATATATGTATTTTTGACAACTTTATATCAGAAGGTCAGTATTTAGCTGGATATAAAATTCTTGGCCCACATCTTATTTAAATATGTCATTCCAGGGGCACCTGGGTGGCTCAGTCTGTTAAGCATCTGCCCTTGGCTCAGGCCATGATCCCAGGGTCCTGGGATCAAGCCCCATGTAGGGCTCCCTGCTCAGTGGGAGAGTCTGCTTCTCCCTCTCCCTCTGCTCCTCCCCCAACCTGTGCTCTCTCTCTTGCTCTACTCTCTCTCTCTCAAATCAAATCTTTAAAAAAATATGTCATTCCATTATCTTCTGGCATAAAATATTTAATATCAAAAATTTTTATATAAAATAAGGGACTTGGTCTTTTTGGCTAGATGACCAAAGGATATTTCCTACAAAACTGTATTTATGCTGTTTGATCATAGCTTATATTACTTTCTTAAAATTTTTTATCATTTTGAAATATTAGGTTAGATATTTTATATGTTTTGTGGGAATTATTTCTCTTCTGGAATAATATTATCCTCTCTTTAAAAATTTTTTTTTTGAAGATTTTTTTTTATTTCTTTGAGATAGAGCAAGAGAGAGCACAAACAGGCTGGAGGGGCAGAGGGAGAGGGAGAAGCAGGCTCCCCGCTGAGCAGGGAGTCTGCTCAGGGCTTGATCCTAAGACCTGGAGATCATGACCCAAGCCAAAGGGAGATGCTTATCTGACTGAGCCACCCAGGTGCCCCTCTTTTTTTTTTTTTTTTTTAATAATAACTTACGTGGAATGTGATCATGGTCCTATCTTGTTTTCTAGGGTTATTTCTTCCATTGTTTGCATGAAGTATTAATAAATATGGTCATGTATCTTCTCAAATATGCTTCACTTGCTCCCTTCCCTCATTTTTAAATCTATTTCTTTCCTTACCCAGCACTACTATGCTTGTCCTCTCAGTTTAGATTTTTTTTTTAAAGATTTTATTTATTTATTTGACAGAGACAGAGACAGCGAGAGTAGGAACACAAGCAGAGGGAGTGGGAGAGGGAGAAGCAGGCTTCCCACCGAGGAGGGAGCCCGATGTGGGGCTCGATCTCAGGACCCTGGGATCATGACCTGAGCCGAAGGCAGACGCTTAACGACTGAGCCACCCAGGTGCCCCTCCGTTTAGATTCTAATGATAGCAGTTATATTCTCAGTGTTGGACTCTGTCTGAGAAGAGGGATTTGGTTGATTAGTATCAGGAGTTCATCAGGCCCAGACCATTCAAGCACAATCCAAATTCATGTGGTCACCTTACATTCACATGTGAATTGAAACTAGTAAAGTCCCCTCTCACTTTCTGCTGCTGTTCTCAGTTTGGCCCATGGTCTTTCCAAATGGAGTGAGGACTCCTCTATTTGAGAGGAGTACCTGTTGGCAATTTGTTTTCTGGAAGTCCCATTACCTTTCCTCTGCCTAAGTATGCATAGCTGCTGATCCTATACAGGTCTTGGTGCTGTCTGTGGTTTGGCCTTATCCCTTTGTGTTTTTAAGGTTTGTGGGAATAACTTGTTACTTCATTTTTTGGTAGATGTTGCCAATGAATTTTTGATTTTGCTATCCTTATTGCTCTATTTTTACAGGGGAGTTTCAGGGAGTTTCAAAAACTACCCCACCATAGATGCCAACTTTTCCCTGAGTTCTGTCAGAGAGATGTCCCTTCTTCCCTATCCCAAACTACATTATTCTCTATGCAGTACCCTACTCTTTTTTCTTGGTGACATTTGTTTTTCATTTGTTTATTGCCTTCTCTTTCCCATTTCAATGTAATCTCTGTTAGAGACTGTTTCACTCATTACTATAACCCTAGCATAGAGCACAGAGATTTCCATAGCAAGCACATGAAAATACATATGAATGAATAAATAGACAATGCCAATGCTGCTAATCTATATCAGAGAGAATAAAACTTTCCTTAACCTGTTATCATTCTTGCATATAATTCCATTAGTTAAAAAGATTTATTTTAGGGATGCCCGGATGGCTCAGTCAGTTAAACGTCTGCCTTCGGCTCAGGTCATGATATCAGGGCTTGGGAATCGAGTCCTGCGTCGGGGTCCTTGCTCAGCCAGGAGCCTGCTTCTCCCTCTGCCTACAGCTCCCCCTGCTTGTGCTCTCTCTCTGACAAATAAATAAATACAATTTAAAAAAAAGATTTATTTTAACTTGCATTAAAAGTTATCTTGATTAATTTTTAAATCTTTGAGATAATTCATATAATTTTTATGTTCAGAAATTTATTAATCACATAAATAAAAATATCTAATCAACAAATTGTAGATTAACAAACTGAGCCACCCAGGGTGGAAGGGCAGAGGGAGAGAGAGAATCTTAAGCAGGCTTCATGCTCAGTGAGGAGTCTGACACAGGGCTCAATCTCACGCCCCAAGATCGTGACCTGAGCTGAAATCCAGTCACACACTTAACCGATTGAGACACCAAGGCACCCCTCTAAACAATAAGTTTTATAATAAAATAAGCAATAATTTATACTTTCTAATTTTCAGTATTTTATATTTCATACAAATTTACTAAAAGAATTCAAAGTAGATTCTAACTAACCTTATGTTTTTCACGTTTTCTCCTTTTGGATTTTTTCTTCTCTCTTTCTTTCTTGTGTTTTTTCCTTGATTTTCTATAGGCTTTTTCATTTTTCTGTTTTTCATCCTCTTTTGCTTCCTGTTCTTGTGTTTCTTCAAGTCCTGCATCATCTATTTCACCATCTTCTAATTCGCCATCTTCTCTGTAGAAAACAATGACATTTTTATTTTCAAATGTTATTCAAAAATGAGTCTTATAAAAACATTTCCAAAAGGAAAAAAAGCACATGCCAAGAATTTAAGTTATATTCATTTAGATCAGGGATGGCAAACTTCTCCTGTAAAGGGCCAGGTAGTATATTTACAGGCCACATACGGTTTCTGTTGCAAATTCTTCTCCCTTTTTGGGGAACAATCCTTCAAAAATGTAAGAACCAGTCTTAGCAGCAAAAATTTGCCAACCTCTGATTTGGATTAAGATCACTGACTCTCGGGTGGCTGGGTGATAGACATTGGGTAGGGTATGTGCTACGGTGAGCGCTGTGAATTGTGCAAGACTGTTGAATCACAGATCTGTACTTCTGAAACAAATAATGCAACATATGTTAAGAAAAAAGAAAAAGAAGATAGCAGGAGGGGAAGAATAAAGGGGAGTAAGTCAGAGGGGGAGACGAACCATGAGAGACGATGGACTCTGAAAAACAAACTGAGGGTTCTAGAGGGGAGGGGGTGGGGGGATGGGTTAGCCTGGTGATGGGTATTAAAGAGGGCGCATTCTGCGTGGAGCACTGGGTGTTATGCACAAACAATGAATCATGGAACCCTACATCAAAAACTAATGATGTAATGTGTGGTGATTAACATAACAATAAAAAATTAAAAAAAAAAGAATGATGCTGGGGCGTGCATGGACTCGAGGAAAAAGTCTTGTGATCGATTAGTGATGTCTGCCACGGATTAGGCAATGGGGGAACCACAGTAGGCATGCCACACCTTTGCCATTCCTATTATATACAAAAAGGACATGGCCACAGGAGGAAGGCTCCAGAAAAAAAAAAAGTCAAAGAGAAGTGTAATTTGTTTCCCTGGAAACCACCAGATCTCTTAGAACCTGTGCATGAGAAACAGAACAGCAGCTACTGACTTCAGCTCAACCCCAGAGAGTTCATAAACTGCTCAACTCATGCAGAGTACAGTTTTCTTCTGAGAAGGACGGTTTCTTCTGCATAAAGGTCTCATTATTGTGATCTCTGATCCTGCTACCTGGCCACAATTGATCTGTTAAAACAGGGTTGGAAACTATTAGCTATAGGCACTTGGTTTTGTAAATAAAGCTTTATTGAAACACACACACACAAAAAAAAGATCACTGACTCTCACCAAATTAATGAATGTATGCATGAATGCAGTGTTATTCCATGGTATTACAGCAGTTGCCTTCTACTGAATCACCTTTTAAAAAAAAATTAAACTAAAACATTTTAGTAAGTAAACATTCTTACTACAGGAAGGAATTTTTAACTTAGTGTCATGTAAACAACGATAATTAGCTTTAAAATAAAAGTAATCTATATTAATTCTCACCATCAAAGTAATCTTCAATAAGAAAACAGATTTCAATAGGTAGATAAAGAGCAAAACCTGAGCTACAGAAGAATCATAAATTAAACCTGAATTTGTAAAAAATATTCATAGTAAAATCATAAATTGAATTCTACTTTCCAAATACTAATATGTTTGCTATAACGGAGACCAAACTAGAAACAAACTTTTATACTGTTTATGACCTTAGAAGCCAAAATATTAATAGTATTTTAACACCAAATTAAACAATGATCTATCTCCATAAGAAGATAAGTATATAAAATAAGTTTAGTGTTTAATCATGTTTCCATACAGTTTGAAAAAAATGCAAGCTGCTATAAATAGTACAGAAAGACAAATGTCTGTATGACTGGAAGCAAATGAGAAGCAACCAAACTATGGTGTGTGCATTATAAAGATAAAGTTACTAGGGATATGTGATTTCTAAAACGCAAAACTGATCATGTCACTCTCCTGCTGAAAATCTTCAACAGTGATGTGATGTCTCAAATTTGCTTCAGAACTATCCACTGGGGGAGGAAGGAAGTGGTATCAACAAGATTGGTCATGAGTTGGTAATTGCTCAAACTGTGGGATGTGTAGGTGTTTGAAGTTTTCCATAATAAAAGGACAGTACCAGTGACTCCTTTCTGACCTGAGGATGACATCAGAACTCTGTGATATTACCAAAAGGCCCTTTATAACTGACTGAGTCCCTGCTTCCCAGCTACTTTCAATTTCTCACGTCTCCAAGCTTTAAACATTGCCTTAAAGACTCTCATTGTCCGGGCGCCTGGGTGGCTCAGATGGTTAAGCGTCTGCCTTCGGCTGGGGTCATGGTTCCAGGGTCCTGGGACCGAGCCCTGCATCGGGCTCCCTGCTGAGCAGGGAGCCTGCTCCTCCCTCTCCCTCTCCCTCTGCCTGCTGCTTCCCCTGCTTGTGCACTCTGTCAAAAATAAGTAAAATCTTTAAAAAAAAAAACAAAACAAAACTCTCATTGTCCGCTCCTCTCAACACCCACCCTCCACTTCCTTCACCTGGCTAATTCCATTTTATTCTATTGGACCCAGTTCAGATGTCATTTCCTCTGAGATGCTTCCAATGACTACCCAGGTTTAGGAGAGATGCTTCACCCTAAGTACTCTCCTAATAATTCTCCTTTCTTTATCACTACACTCCATGCATTATGTTCAAATAACTGGAACATGTTGGTTGGGGAAAGTAGGATGTGATTGTGTCTTTCATAGCTGCATCTCTAACCCCTAGGATGGTTCCCTACTGTTCACTGAATGAACGAACGTATAATATTCATAACTCTTGCATTATAGAACAGGCACATGATACCACCCAAAATTGGCAGTGAAGTCAATGTTATCTTCCCCCAATTTCTATTATAAAATCAAAGAGCTATATATCCATTTAGGCAGACTTAAAAATTTCTTGTGAGGCAGGGTTGGCATTCTGGCTGTTTTAACAAAAACGTTCTGAACTTTTGTAACACTATAAAACCTGAAGTTCCAAGAAAAATGAGTGCATATATTCACCAAAAGATAAGCACAAGAATGTTCTTTGCAACTTTAGTCACAACAGTAAAAAACTGTTAACCCAAATCACCATCAACAGGTGAATGGATAAATTGTGCTTTATTTATATAATGAAATACTATAAAGCAAAAAAAAAAAACTAGCCACTGCTACACACAATATGGATGAATCTTATAGACACAATTATGAGTAAAAGAAGCTAGACACAAGAGAGTATTATTTGATTCCATTTATATGTATTTCAAGAAGAGGCAAAACTAACCTATTGTGACAGAAGTCAAAATAGTGATTACCTCTCGGAGGGTTGTAACTGACAAAAAAGGGGTACTAAGGAACCTTCTGGGGTGTTGAAATATTTTGTATATTGATCTGTGTGGTGATCGTTATATATACATACTTATGTGTAAAAAATTCATCAAGTTGTACATTTACAAATTGTGTACTTTACTGCCTACACTTACATCATAACAAAATTTAAACAGCACCAAAAAAACCTATGGGTATTCATCCTTTACCACCCTCCTCTTCCAACTTGAGCTCCTTGAAGCATAAATCTTTTTATATCTTAAAATCACTAATTCATACTTAACATTTTGACTGGAGCTATTTAACCTAAGTATTCAAGCTAAAAATGCTGCCTATGAATTTATGTCCTACTTAACATAAATTCTTTAACTGTGAAATATGGGGTGTTTATATTTGTCATTAGACAAAAAGAAATGAAAGGTATTTTACTTTTCTTTCTTCTCCCTTAGACTATTTACCATTTTAGCGTTCACACAACAAATTTAAACTTGTGAATTTAAATTTGTGTATGGTTACAAGAGATAGGATAGAAAAAGGGTTAGCTTTACAAAATCAGCTTTGGGCACAAATGGAAAGCATGTATGGCATGATGGAAGAGGAGACTTCCAGGGAGGACAGCTAGCTTCTAATGCCAGTTCTGTCACCAAAACAAAATAAAGCTATCTTGATTAAGCACCTACTAATGTATCAGATACTAGTCTAGCTCTGTGAAAAATAAAAAACAGAAGAAATAATATAATTAAGAGTGCTTAGCATTCTCTAGATTTTGAATTAGCTCAACACCATTATGAAAGCTGTTTTTGTTTACTAAACCCAAAACACATTTTTAAATTTAATAAATCAAAAAGAGAAGCTCTCAGTTCAATTCTATATGGATGACTTTTCATTAATGTAAAATAATAGAGTGATTATATCCTTTTGAGGAAGAGGCATATTCATGTTTATGGACATGTAAACAACTGTTATTTCTAAAAGAATTTATCTCTTAGGCAAATCCATAGAGACAGAAAGTAGATTAGGGATTGCCAGGTAGGTCAGAGGGAGGAATGAGGATTGATTGTCAATGGTCATGGAGTTTTTCTTTTTGGAGTGATGAAAATGTTCTAAAAAAAAAAAGCTCTAAAATTAGAGAGTGGTGATTGCACAACTCTGAATATTCTAAAAACCAATGAGTTGTATACTTGAAAAAGGTGAATTTTATTTCAATAAAGCTGTTATTTTAAAAAAATAAAGTTTTAAAAGATTTTATCTCTAGGTTTATTTTTTTTAAACATTTTATTTATTTATTTGAGAGAGAGAGAATGAGAGATAGAGAGCACGAGAGGGAAGAGGGTCAGAGGGAGAAGCAGACTCCCTGCTGAGCAGGGAGCCTGATGTGGGACTCGATCCCGGGACTCCAGGATCATGACCTGAGCTGAAGGCAGTCGCTTAACCAACTGAGCCACCCAGGCACCTTTACTAGGTTTAAATATCTACATTGCAGACAACTGGAGAAAATCATAACGCACCGTAGTATTAACTAAAAACTCTGAACTGGCTCAATGCCCTCACTGTTCATGATATGTTCTTATTCTGAGGTATATTTCACTAAATCCTTATAAACTGATTTGCTTCATAAAGGACTCTACTTTTCCCCATTCTGATATTGTTGCTATTAAAACAACTTAACCTGAACCATTCGGTCTTACCTCCATAGGTAGTTTCTGCTTTTTCTTTATGCTTGCCTAAAGGCTCCTGTTACAAGCTATAGATCAGAAACTGAGTCTTCT